ATTGTGGCAGTGTAGATATATTGTGGCAGTGTATATATTGTGGCAGTGTATTATATTATATCTATTCTCTTAATCTCTGAGTAGTTTTTCTCTCATTTTACAACACGTTATCAGCATGAATTTGCTCAAAAATCTCAGAATCCTTGTTCTTCTCAGAAGGTATATTTATTTAATTTTCTTCATAAACAAACTAAAATATTTTCTTAGAAACTATGAGAAGTATGCTCTGTGATTGCCCGAATTTTGGCAGTGTAGATATATTGTGGCAGTGTATATATTGTGGCATTGTATTTCAGACATTGAATTTTTGACAGTGCATATATTGTGGCAGTGTATTTCAAACATTGAATTTTTGGAAGTACATATTGTGGCTAACATTATGGCAGTGTATATATTGTGGCAGTGTAGATATATTGTGGCAGTGTATATATTGTGGCTGTGTATATACTGTGGCAGTGTATATATAATACAAATTTGTTTAATTAAGGGTAATATTGGGAATTCATCTCAAAAACTTATAGCACTGCTATTTTGCGTATTTTAAGCCTATTATAGTGCTATATTCGTATTTCTCCCAAAACTTTTAGGATAGGAGGGAGTATATCTTTACTAAACATATGATGAGATACACAACGGTTTGTGGCACATTCACCCCAAAATTCAGTCGAAAAAGAAGTTTGAAGAGAAATTTACCTAAATAAGACTAAAACATAATGACTTTCCCAATATAAGACCATATGTTTTTATTTTCCAATGTAGGACCTTTGGTCATTATTAAGTAGTCATTATTCAACTAAATGTCTATCATTACTGGACATATTCCTCCCACTAGGTCATTATTAAGTCCTATTTAGGGAATAAAAAAGTTTAAGTCCTACATTAAGAAAGTCATTATGTTTTAGTCCTATTTAGTGCAAATTTCACAAGTTTGAAACATAAGAAAATGGGTGATGCTGAGAATATTGACATGTCCTCCCAAAATTCAATCAGAAGAGAGGTTTGAAGCATAAGTAAATGGGTGATGTTGAGAATATATATGACACTCTTTGTGCATGTTCAACATGCTCATTTCATTGAGGAGTACCAATGATGTGCAGTTAAAGGATTTACTCTGATTCAAATAAAGAAAATAATAAATTACTTGTTGTTCCCGGTCCCCCAAATTCTTAACATGGTATCCAAGTTTTATTGACCAAGAGATCATGAATTCAAAACTCAACGCCACCCAATTTTAAAGAAAAGTTAAGGTTTCACGTGCAAAGCTTAAAGAAGTCACACCTGCACGTGAGGGGCATGTTTGAGTATATAAAAATCATTCCTGGGCCACAACCACGAGCTTAAGTTTTTAGTGAGTTGGTTTCTTGACATGGTATTGAAGAAGGTCCGGTTTGGATTTGATTCTTCCTGGTTGTTTAAACGTAGGTTTAGCAAAATGAACTACTCGTCCGTGATTTGGGTTGAGTTTGCTATAAGAGATTGGCACACCATCTCTCGCTGCGTCGGCTAGGTATAAGAGATTGAAATACTAGATCCTTTTATCCAAATGCTAACTAGCTAGGTGAGGTTAGTTACCACTCGAGGAGGAGTATTGAAGTTCCCACCTCGAAAAATAAAGATGAATATATACCATTAGCATATATATAATGGAGAAACCCTACCCATCAGCTTGAGCTTTTAAATTATAAATTGGATCACGACTTTATATGCAAACGGTTAATTTTACATGACACTCCGCTCCTTGTTCTCGGTCCACCAAATTATTAACACTGTGACACTCTCCACATTGTCGCATTGCAACTGCTACACTGTCATCCATCGCCGCTACCACTAGTGTTCCACCACGGACCTTCGAGGATTGACTGATCATACTGCCACACATATTCACTTTTTCATCACAGTGTCAACGCGTACCCTTATATCATACTGTCACTATATTCTTATTTTTGCCTAAAAAGACTTAAGACTCATATTTTGATATTTTTATATTTTTTTAATCCTATCTGAGGAGATTTCAGATCTTTTTCTTCATTTCTTATATACTCTTATTGTATTAATTACTCTGTATTTATTAAAATAAAATAGTTATTTCACATCTTATCTTTTACTATGTATAATATACTCACTCCATCATAAAAGTAACTTCTCAGTTACACTTTCGTGGTCAAACTTGTTGAAATTTGACTGCATATTTATGAAAAAACTATATTAAATTTTAATATAAATCTAATATCAATTGATTAATTCTGGAAGATAGATTTGAAATATACTCTGTATTATTCTTATAATATATATTTATACATAAATAAAGATGATAATAGTCAAAGTCTTGCGTTTAAAGACTGTGAAAAGTCAAATGCGAAATGAATTTTATGACGGAGGAGTTTTTAATCTTATTTTTTAAAAAAAATTCTTCTTCGTATATTTTAAATTGAAAATGATTAAAACAAAACATAATTTTTGGGAGGGAATAATTAGTAGTATTTTTTCAAGGGAATTAGTATTTAAATTACGTCATTACGTCCGTTAAAATTGCCACCCTAACGTCTTCTCTTTGAACAAGTCAAGATTCCTCCTTTTCCGCTTCTTTGCCGACCCTTCCCTTCCCCGGTCCCCTCCCCTCTCCCTTTTTTTTTACTCTTTTTTTTAAAAAGAATTATCATTTTCTAATTTTCTTTGTCTCTCCCCCTCATGCCCACCATGATAATGCACATGCATATATATGTATACATAAATCTCCGTATTATATGATCTTTGTCCCATAAAAAAATATTTATTTGACTTTTACAGAGTTTAATTAATTAAAAAGGTGTGAAAAAAAGGTTGATTTTAGGAGACGGAGGAATTACGCAATCAGAGAGTCATATTTTGGATTTAGATTGAATCCAAAGATAAAAAGGGCTCCTCCGACGGGTTTTCTTTGATCCACCCATCTCTGCCCATTGCTGCCCGCTTTTTTTTCTCACTGCCCGAAGATAAAGATTGGATCCTTTTTTTTTCTTGCTCATCATCAATCTGTCGTCTCAAGGAACTCTAATAAACTGGTAAGTTTTCCTAATTTGTTTCAATGTATTTTTTTGTTATAGTCAAATTCTGAAAATGTTGATTCCGTCTCTAAAAAAGTTTCTTGTACCAATATTTACGGTATTTAATAAAGTACATTTTGGTATATTTTTTTTTTCCAAAAATACTCTTAGATTTGAATAGCTATGGTGTGATATGTAAAACAATATTTAGTAGAGATTAGGAAGTAATTAATAAAAGTCATTAGAAAACAAAACAAAAGTTGGCACTCGATATTATGTACTGTTTCTTAGCTTCTACCTCTGTGGTTTGGTTGATTTAGAATATGAGTGCATATATGTGGATCGGAGGGATGATTGTAAACAAGGAGACGTGCAAAATTGAAAGTATTTTGGAAGTTCTTTGGAGTTATTAGAGAGTGTTTAATTGACCCACTTCTAACAATTTGGCTTCTACTTCTAAGCTGTAGCTGTTTTTGTTATCTTTGGTATACCAACTTATATACGGAGTAGTATACTTTCTGTCACCATTGTTTTTTTTAACATAAAACATTATTACTCCTTTTGTCCGAAAAAGAATGTCACAGTTCACTATTCAAAAATCACAAAAACTTTTGTTTATTTGTACGTTTTTTGGATTTATTCAATAAAAAAAAAAGACTATTTTTATCGCCTCTTGTTTTGAAGTAGACATATGATGTTTTTGCTTTTAACTTCTTTGTTGATATAGAGTGATACATACCAAAAACAGTCTCTTTGGAATTGAAAGAGAAAACCAAAGGTAATGAAGGGTGCTCATATGAAGACTCATCTGGAACCCAGAAAACCGCCATTATCCAAACACCGCCCTCTCACTATTCTCAGAATCATTAGGGGTGCAATATGTATAACAATCCTCCTCTCAACTGCACTCATGTTCTTGATATACCTAACCCCAATTGGCATGATCTTGCGCCACACCAGCATTCACCATTCTAGGAAACTCTCCTCTCTGGTTTTCGGCGTCTGGTTGGGACTATGGCCCTACCTATTCGAGAAGATAAACATGACGAAGGTTGTGTTTTACGGGGACATTGTGCCCAGGGGAGAGCGCGCGCTGTTGATCTCAAACCACAGGACGGAGGTGGACTGGATGTACCTGTGGGACCTCGCGTCGCGCAAGGGGTGTTTGGGCCGTGTGAAGTACGTGCTGAAGAAGAGTTTGATGAGAATGCCGGTTTTCGGCTGGGGGTTTCGCGTCCTCGAGTTCATCCCCTTGGAGAGGAAGTGGGAGGTGGACGGGCCCGTCTTGCGGTCCATGCTTTCGAGCTTCGCCGATCCGAACGATCCACTGTGGCTCGTCGTTTTCCCCGAAGGAACCGATTTCACGTAAGAATTTTTTTAATGAAATATTTTCAGGACTAAAACTTTGTCATTTTCCTAAATAGCACTTAAACTGTTTTATTCCCTAAATAGCACTTAATAATGTCCATAATGTCCAGTGATAGCAAAGATTTACTTAAATAATCACTAATGGATAATGACTCAAAGTGCTACGTTGGAAAAAAACACATGTGATGCTATTTAGGAAAAGTCATTATGTTTTAGTGCTATTCAAATAAATTCCCCTTTTTTTATTTCTTATGTTTGTTACACGTCACTTTACTCTGTGTGTAGTGTGATTTTTACGCTGGGGGAAGGGATCTATAACATTTGCGTATACACATCATTTTGAGACTCTACTTTTGTGGGATTCTGCTGAATTTGTTATTGTTGTATTTTTGTTACATGATTGAGTAGTATTGAGAATTGGAGTGTTTTTGTGGTTTCTTTTTTGTAACAGTGAGCAGAAGTGCATTAGAAGCCAGAAGTTTGCTTTAGATAATGGATATCCAGTGATGAAGAATGTGTTGCTCCCAAAGTCTAAGGGTTTCTTTGCTTGTTTGGATGTACTTAGACATTCTTTGGATGCAGGTAGGTTTTCTCTCACATCCTTTGTTTTTTATCTCTATAAATTAAACTACTTTTTAACTAATTAAGTCATCATTTTAAAATGTGTTGTTTTTTTTTTTTGCAAATGGTTTTGGGCAGTTTATGACATAACAATAGCATACAAGAACCAGTGTCCATCTCTGATAGACAACATCTTTGGAGTAGACCCATCTGAAGTTCACATGCATCTCCGGCGCATCCCGGCGGAGAAGATGCCGGAATCCGGCGACGAGGAGGACGTCACGGCTTGGCTGATGGAAACTTTCCGGTCCAAAGACCAGTTGCTCTCAGATTTCATTGACAATGGCTGCTTCCCTGACCCGGTCACAGAAGAGAAAATCTCTACCCCAAAATGCTTGGCTAACTTTGCATTTGTCATTGCCCTGACTGCCCTTCTCATATACCTTACATTTTGTTCATCCATTTGGTTCAAAGGTTATGCCCTTTTGTCATGTCTATATCAAGCTTCTATCACTTATTTGGACTTCAAGCTTTGACTTTTTTACCCCTGCTACAAATTAATTGTGTTTATAGTTTTTTGAAAGATATGTTATTAAAGCACGTCTCTTGGTATAAGACCCAAATGAACAAAATTTTAATGGTATAAGACTTTTTTTTACCATGCATTTGGTACATATAATTTTCATTACCTTAATGGTCTTTTCTAGGATTTATAAACAAATTTATATTTTGTACATGGGGTCATAAATCATAATCCACGTGGAAAAAGGCTTCCCTGAGCTTATTGTATTTTTCGACGTCGAAATTGTATAGTTTCATGAGTTTTTCTTGCTTTGTTTTGAAACGACGTCGGAAATACCCTTCAAAACTGGGCTCTTTGGAAGTCCGGAGGAAGAAAGTGTAGGCCAGCCCAAAGTGGATGGACGTGACGAAGAAGCAAATGGGCTCCATAACATCCCAACTCAGCTCCCAAAATGTTAGCCTCATGAAGCCCAACGTTTGCAGGGCTAGAAAGCCCAGCCCGCAATACAGTTCTCTCTTGACTAGTGATTGGGCCTTTTGGTCGATAAAGCCCTTTTGCTTCTCCATTATTTCGAGCTCTTTCTTTCTCGGATCGTTTGGCAACGCAATTTTCTCGTAAATCATTTTCTCCATAGTTTTCGCCACCTATTATTGCACAAATTCTGTTGTTCACTTTTCATATTCAATAATAAAATTATTACGAATGTTCTAAAGTATTAGAAACCAGATATGTGCATTGTTTATATAAAGGCAAGACTAAATCACTCTCAAAATAGTTAAATTCACTTTTTTCATCTGAAAAAGAATGAATTTAGCCATTTTATCAAATGATTTTAGTCATAAATGTATATAAAATGAGTTTATAATTAAATATTTTTTCTTTTAAAGTTCAAAAAATAAATATGTACACAAGAACTGAAGAACCATAAAAAAATTTGTCCTCTATGACAATTTAATCTTTCAGATTTTGAAATACCCTTGTGGGCCCAAATATTTTATCCACGACATATGCATTCCAATATATTCTGTCCATTTCTAAGCACAAAAGAAAAAGTGAGTGATTAATTCTTTTGTGATATAGTTTCTTGTCTCTAAAAACATTTCTCTTTTTTTTAATAATTTGTTTCAATGTATAATTTAATTACTTCTTTGTTTTTAACTTCTTAACATTTTAAACATTTTTATGAACTTCCACATAATTTTCTAATAAAAGTACCAAATTATTGATGACATTAATACAATGACTATATGTGATGGATGATGATAATAATAATAATAATGATGATAATAATGATGAGAATAATTATAACGACGATGGCAAGGACAACGGCGACTATGATGATGATGATAATTTCGATGGATAACACCACCACGTGATGACTATGTTTTTGAAATTTTTTTGATGGAGATACTAGTATGGGTGGACACGGTACGGTTCCGGTTCCGGAACCGCCGGTTCCGGTACCGCCACCCCTTGGTACTGATACCGGTATCGGACCGGCCGGTACCGATTCCGGTTCCCGGACCGGCCGGTTTCGGCCACCCCCAATTTTCTTTTTTTTTTTGCTTTTTTATTAAATTTTTAAAGTGTAAAATTGTAAATATGCAATTGTTAAAGGAAAGGATGAAATAAAAAATCTAAAAATGAAATTGATAAAGGAAAGAATGAAATAAAAAAATAATAAAAAAATAAATTAATAACGGTACCGGAACCGGTACCGCCGGTACCGAAAAATGGGTACCGGAACCGGTACCGGAGTGGGCGGTACCGGTACCGGTTTCCGGAACCGGTGGAACGTCCCGGCCGGCAGTGACGGTGGCGGGTATCGGCGGTACCGTTGCCGGTCACGGTACCGTACCGGTACCGTGTCCACCCCTAGATACTAGTACTATCTTTTTACTTTCGAATTTTCAATCATAAATATGAGTACTTTCTTGTATTCCAATTGATATCTCAGTATATTATTTAAGGTCAAACTATTTTTCTTTACTTATTTACATTAATCATTAAATAAAATAACATTAATAATTATTACTCAAACGAAATGAAGTGAAAATAAATTCAATGTTGTCCATAATTCGCAATTAGAGAATAAATTTGAGACGGAACGGGAAACCTTAGTATCTTACACAGTATTACCGCATTATAATTTTTTGAGTACTCTCTTGTGTACACAAAGTTGCACACTAACTTGTAAACCAATCTTTCCCTTATAATTTTATGAAAAATGCTACGCTACATCTTTGGTGTACCTCATTTGTCCCTCACTCCCTTCTTGTTCACATAATTGGGTTAGAAAATAAAAAAATGAATAAATAAAAATCAAATAAAAATGAGTGTTGGAAAAAGGGGTGGTTTACATTTGAAGTACACCAAAGGTGTACCCCTAACATTACTCTAATTTTATTCACGCTACCAAATGTGTGGTATGAAGAGGCTGGTGTGCAACTTGTTGTGCTCATAGCTTTTTAATTTTTTTAAAACTTTCAATAATAGTAATACCTCGTAATACTCTGTATTCACGATTTGGCTCTCATGACATTGGTTCATGTCATGAGATAACTCGGGTCTCTGCTACTCCTTAACTCTCCGTTAAATCCTACACTCCGGTTTGATCTGAACCCCACCACCCCACCCCCTCCTAGCCACACCCCTTTCAATAGCACTCTTAAATGTAGTTGATTTTGAAATCAAATTTTAAGTCTAGAGTCAACTGAATTTGAAAAAATTCGATAAAGGATTTGTGGGGGGTGGGGGGGGGGGTTAGGTTCGAGTAGATTCGAGTGGAGTTTACCAGGTAGGTTAGAACGGACATAAACCGAAAATTTTTGGAAGAGAGCATCATAGGGACCCTAAATAGAGCATGAATTATAGTATTACATTGGAGTTTAATGTTACTTGAACTTCCCAATATATATATTCTCTCACAATTGTCATCATGAGTTTAGAATTTTTAAGAAACAAATATTTTCTCTCTCAAAGTATTTTTCTGGTTTTGATTTTTTGAGTTAGTTAAGATCAATTTTTAATCCATAATTAAACAAGAAGTATATTATAATACTTATTAGATAAAAGAATGTCTTCAAAATATTTTACCAGATAAATCCAATAGAACTATTTTTGTGACAATATATAATCTAAATTTTATTTAATTAATTATCAAAATGATCAATTTTAGTATAAATAGTCAAAATTGAAGAAATAAGTTGGGAGTAACAAATACGGAGTACTGAGTAGGTTACTCGAGAGCTTACCATATCAGGGCGGAGCAAAACGACGTCGCCAAGAACGATGACAGTGCCGGACTCGTCCATCATCTTCGCAAACTCCAGAGCTTGCTCTCTGTTATTACAACCGCATCCACAAATCGTAACAAACTCCGCGTACGGCACGCAATTCACGGCGACTCCTCTGATCCTCGACCTCACCTTCTCCAGCTGAGCAGATCTCAGAATCTTCCGCATATCCTTCACCGAAATCTGGTGCACCGCCGCCTCCTCCTCCTCCGGATCTCGCATCAGCGGAGGCGGAGCGAGACCGATCCGGCCGCCGGGAATGTTGATCGGCCGCATATTTTTCCTGAATTCCTCTCCCGCCGGAGCCGTTACGAACTCCGGCAGCCACGTGGCGCCGTTGATCGCTCTCCGGTGGAAAAACCGCTGGAAAATTGCACCGATTGTGCCGCGCGGCGGCGTGATTAGCTGCCTGTGGAAGCTCAATCTGGATGGTAGATCGTTCTCGCCGGATAACGGAGCATGTTTGATCGGCGCAGGTGACTCTGCTTGTTTGAAGTTGAATATGCGCTTGGCTATGGATATACGAAAAGCCATTGATTATGGGGTGAAGGAAATACGAGTAGTTTTGAAGTAATGGGATTATGTGTCTGTCTCTGTGTGTGCGTATATATATATATATATACACATATAGATACAGAGAGAGAAAGGGAAGGAGGGTCCGTCCAGTCCAAGCTTGGCGGAAAGGGAGAATATGACAGTTAAATCGCTACGAAATTGAATGACGGAAACGTGATTTTTTTTTTTCATTTTATTTACAAATTCATAGCGAAATAAAAATATAAATTGCATTGTTCAAATGTAAATTAGTAGTTTAACAAAATAAAATACGACAATAACATTTTATTTTATTAAATGGTCAATCAATACAAGTAAAGGAACATAAAATTATCCAAGAGATCAAAATAGTAATTATGACATTCGTGTACTCTTTGTGATGAGTAATTTTTATGGATGGGAGGGATTATGAGGTAATCTTTTGCATTGGTTTGAGATTTGTTTAGTTAGAGAATATTGAGGTGAGATATGTATGTCAAACAACATATTCAATTTTGAGATTTGACGCAAATCAAAAAAACAACATATGGACGTCTCTCACAACAAGAGAAAAAAGTTTCACCAATTCTTTAGTGATTAAGAAAAGTGTAAGGCCGCCGTCCGTCGGGGACGTTGCGTAGTTGGCAAGGCAAGGAGTGCTAAGGAGGTAAGACCCGATTTTGATTCCTAGTAATTGCGCTGAGAGACATCTATGTTAAGCATATGGCCTCTGCAAGTACTGGGTGCAAGCTCCATTCTTTGCCACCAATCTGCGATTAAAGCTCAATTTACCTCTTCTTAGTGATCGTCCGGTCGGGTCTGAGAAGGCCCTCAGGGATGAGGCTCATCTTTTTTTTTATAAAGAAAAATGTAAGGTCATGGGGTGTGCCACAGCGGGAAGTGGCGGGAACACCCCCCACCCCGTGCGGGTAGGGGAAATGCATGGTGCTCATCCCGTTTTTCCGTTCGCAACGGTCCAAAGGTTTTTTTTGAAACTTAGCCGTTAGGTTCTACACAAAAATCAAAAAATTTCAAAATTCTTACTATTTAAACACAACACTCAATGGGGATGTTCACTTTTTTCATTATGTTTATTTTTAATATATATTCTTATTTTTATATTATTTTATGCACTATTATTATATTTCTTAGTCACACAATTATTGTAATTCTTATTTAAATTTTATATTTTCATGAAATATATTTTCTCTTTCTGAAAACAATTTTATGGTTCTTTTAATTTTTTTCTCATTTGAAT